AGTTATATTTAATCTTATTATACGATAGCATACACTATTATCACAAGGGCGTTTCATAACAAATATATCTTTCCTGATAAACGTCACCTATAGATTGTTAGAATTGGATCAGTGAATTGATAGACACAATGACTTCTTGTTGAATTTCCTCATTCTGTTTACTTGTATTTCTTGAAAATAAAAGTTGACTAATTTGATTGTAAATTTCACTGGTCTACTTGTATTTATTTCTAAACTAATCATACGGTTACAATGTACGTAACAAGAATGCTAATAATCAGTGATGAGATTTTGTTGCTGGGAAATGTTCCTTGTGAATGTAATGTATTAGCGGAATGAATTACGTGTATAGATATGTATGATTATGAGTATAGTTACTTAAATTGACTAGGTAATTTCACAACAATTATAAGAGAGATCAAAGCAAGTTGATTTGATAACTTTTGTGTTTCAGTGCACCACATTTTGAACAATTTCATGATGTATTTACTTGTCAAGTGAATTTTTTACGTTATAACAATGAAATACTAGTTAAATAAAATTTGACATTTATGAATATAATGGAGATGACAACACTAGGTAAAACGGTGGTCTAACATCAATCGGTTCATGATGACAATCAAAAAATTAACAATCTCCACAACCCCTATACTGGTAATTAACATGTGCTCACTGGTGACTAACTTCGTGAGGGAATCCTCGGAGTTCTAGTGAGAAGCCGTGACCGGTGGAGCTAATCCGTGTCAGGTAGAGACAAGTATCTACCTCAATACAATAAAAGATGATTGTACGATTTCGTGGATTAGTTGAAGTCAGACATTAACACCATTGGATGCCGGCCAGCTCAGTGGTCTAGAGGTTAAGCGTTCGCGCGAGACTGAATGTCCTGGGTTCGAATCCCACGGAGCGGGATCGTGAGGAGTCGCACAATAGGACGAAATAGCCGTCCATTACTTCCAGGTTTTCAATGGTGGTCTAGCATCAATCGATTCATGATCTCAATAAAAAAAACTAGGTAAAACAGCTGGTTTTCGCATTGCTTATGTCATCTTGAAATGGGTTAAATATTGCTGTGATAGATTCAAAGGTATAACTAACTCTATTCGAACCCATAAATGGGCGTTACATTTTCTAATGATTAAAGTTTTCACAAACCTATAACCCTTTTTTTTAAAAAATTCCTATATAATTATTTAGAAATTGTCTGAAGTTCAATTCCACTTCCTTAATAATTACGATTATGTGTAGTTATTGATGAATTTTTTTTACTTCTAAGGAGAAAAAAGAGGATTCTAAACTACTATTGTATAGTATTGTATTTAGAACGACATTTCCAATGTTTAGTTGAATTTCGTTATGTAGAGTGGTTTGTTCACAGTAAAACTTAATAGCTTAAAACAATTCTGGAATCTCACATCCAAAAAAAAAACAATGTGAATAATCTATTAATAAATTGGTGATAATAACAATTATTTCTGCTTTATTCAACACAATCCAGATTTTAAAATATTAACAAAATTCATAATAGATAGTAAGTAGTAGTGGCCTAGACAGAGTATATATATATATATATATATGGTATCATGGATTTTGTATTTTAGTTTTATTTAAATGTATATGAGAGGGAAAATGAAAGTCGTGTAATTTCTTATACAAAACAACACTCGAACTCACACACACTCATTTCAGTCTAGACAAACCAGGTCAGACAAATTTTAACCACATTTATTTTTATAACAAATTAAGATTGTTTTTCTGTAAAAAAAATTACTGTTATGCGAACTGCTCAACTAAAATATTCTAAATTAATATTTTTGTAACAACAACAACAACAATGAAAATGATTTGTTTTATCGTAATAATTTGATGAGAGTAATAGGCGAATTCAAAGGATTTTTATTAAAGTGATATAGTGGTTAACAGTGGGACCCGTCAGTTAATTCTACATGTATTCTGATGTTATAAATCCACACAGGAGAATCGAGCACGGTACTTTTCAATTTAAATAACAACATGTTCGTTGAGTCTAAATAAACCCTGGTTTGAGAGATCAGATACTGATCCATTGTAGTCCTTAATATTGATGGTAGAAAAATACAAACCCTTACGAATCAACATCATACATATTAAACTAGCCAATGGCTATATATGGACTCAATAGCTCGATAGATAAGGCATTAGCTCCCAAAGAGACAGGTACTTGGTTCGAGTGAGTGGACATCAATACTAGTAAATAGGTACATGTGACTACCAATTCACAAGTATTGCGAGATATGAGTTCTAGATTACATTGTCGGCCACTATCGAACTTAATTAAAAACTAGTGACTTAATGATAATATCGAAAGAATTCTTATGGGATCTACATGTGTTACGACGACTAATCAGCTAAATGCCTTAACGCCAACAACGGGAAAATACGAAATCTTAAAATTATTAACTTAAAGAATGCTTTAGATTGATAGATTAGCATACATTTAAGCATATTTCTAAATAATTATGCTCAAACTGTAGTTTAAACACTTAACTTTTAAATTGTTTACAAAATCCTCTTCGATTTCGTGAACTTATGTATACCTGGAGTGATTTCAGCTGGCAAACCAGTGAATTCTAGGAGGGATTGAATAACGAGATCTTCAAATTTTATGTCCCATTTCTGCACAAATTCATGACAAAAATATTGGAGTCTCAAATAAAGTCGAAATCGCCATTGATTATTGACTGTACTTGAACTATTTCTGTATTGTTTGTAGTTAGATTGTCTGACTAAAAAAATGCAAAAATACATTTCTCGATTCATACTAATACTACTGAATTCTTTGGGATGCAGCTGTATTTTTATTGAAGTAACATAATAGTCTGTTCACTACTGAACAGCTTTGAGAGTCAGCTAGCAGTTATAATCATAATAACACCTGACACATATTTCTATCGATTTAAGTTGTCGTACCATATTATCAAGGGTAGAAGTAGCAGTAACACAGATGATATCAGTAGCAGTAGACGAGGTTAGGCAGACAATATGAAATGAGAAATAATGAATGGTAAAAAAGAATGCATTTGTACGATTGTGACCAATCTTGAGCCATTTCACTCAAGGTCTCCAATCTCTGATTTCTTTAATCGCGCGGACGCTAACCAGGTAATTTGCACCTATGTGAACGACTCAGTGCAATAGTCAATGACTTTATGATTTGGTTTCACGTACTGATTACGTCATCCCATGATTGGAATAGGACCAATAAAATAGCGGAGTGTATACATATATCATACAACTGTTTTTAACCTAGTATACAACAGGAGTGTCATACACTGTTCCACCGGCCTTAAAAGCTTTAATAAATCTCTAATTTCCATTGAGATGTCGTGGAGTTTCCCTTTTCACGAAAATTAAGACAGCAATCCACCAACGATATTGGATAATGATCAAGCCATACCACAAACAATTAAAAACCCGAACCATTGAATCTCAACTCGGTTATTTAGGAATATTATGTTTTCTGGAACTCTACATATTTCTGCGTTCAACTGCACATTATATCATGGTTGATATATTCTACAAAAGACATTTCGACTTCATTTTAAGAAACTAGATGCGTACATTTTGACTCTGAAATAGGTTGATTCGGTAAAGTCTAAAGACACTTGGTAGGTAGTTCGTTACTCCATCTCAGTAAAAAGATAATAGGGATAAAGTTTTACTCAAGGAACGAATCGATTAGTGTATGAGGAGCAGAAAAATTACTTTCGTATACTTTTAAAAAACTATGAAAATGACAGCCGAAAATTTTTTCTCCACCATAAAGTAAAAATGAGTGTTCAAAGTATAAAATGACCAATTGTGTCTGTTTAGATTGTATATAATACGAAAATCGACTTTCCCATCCGTAAACTCTCAATTCTGAAACAAAATTTAATCTGATGGTACTAGATTTAATGGGTAAATCTATTCATTTATATAAATACCAAGTAATTTTACACAATAACTGATGTTAAGTCTTGGTTAAAAACACAACCCTAACCCCCCAGCCCTTGTCCTAAATACCTAACTCTAACTAGGAACATTATGGTAGCTTAAAAATTCGTACAGGTCCTTACAAAGATTTGAAAGGTTGAAAATCTATATTCATAAAAATGAGATTATATGTCGTTGTTTTCTTTCTCGATTTATAGGCAGAATAACCTACAGAGAATATCAACAGATTTACTGATTACTTAAAACTGTTTTACACACACATATAGCCATTATTTTCTTTTCTATAAAAAATTCATTTATATAAGCTATTTTCTGATTGACTGGAAATTCATCGCAGTTATTTTAAGATGGTCCTCAAAGTATATAAATATATATTTTTACCATTACAAAAATTATTTACTTTAAATATGTATAAATGGAGATCTTGTCCAACATTGGTGACCTCTTATATTAACTCCAAAATAAACACAGATTATATTGATATTAATTATCATTGTAGAGTGTAAACATTTAATTAACAGATAATTCATTGTAGGCAATTAGCCCAATAGGAAATTTACTATCCAACGAGATATTCCTCAACTTATCACTTATTATGTATTACTGATTTCATTTCTAACTTTTGTCATTCATTGAACAACAAAATCATAATACAGTATACATAGATGAGAACGATAAAAATACAGCCTCATACCAAGACATTTTACAATAAATCTTAGGTTAATAATAATGACAAGAAGAAATATGTGTGATGTAAAGATTCAAGTGTTAAATATCTCGCTTACACAGTGATCTCAGGAAAGATATTCGACTGCAGGGTCAGTAGTAAAACTCGGTATAACAGATACATCGTGTCAACAAAATCGTTTAGGTAGGACCACTTTCAGGATTGCAAGTACGCTTTTCTGATATTTAGCTCAAGACCTAAACCTGAGGTTTATTGCCCAGTTCTTCAAACTATCTATAATCACAGTGCAAATCAATATCGAGTCGTTCAAAGTGGTGGAGACTTCATTCCAATAAATTGATCATCATCAAAGAAGAGACAAACATGACATAGAATAACAATATTCAGTGAACATTTCCGGTAAATCTAAAAGTTATCCAGTATATCAGAACAAAAAACGTATCATGGATAATTCAAAAGGAAAAAGCAACCAATCAAAAGTCGCCAGCAGTATGAACAAACGGCATCAACCAATTTAACTGATCAACCAAATTTGAACCACGTAGAAAATAATTTCAAAACTCTAAAATATGCACTCACTAAATGTAGAATTACATTAAGCATAGTGGCTAGCTTAATTTGTCACTGAAACGAATGCAATTACCCAAACATACAAAGTACACTAATTAAAAATCACGGTATAGAATTACGAACACCAATCTAAAACAAAATCCATCATGTCAGGTCGATTGACATTTCCAAATTCAGAACAAACAACGTGCATATGTATCTTCTTGAACGTTTTTAAAAAGAAAGGGAAAAGTTATGAAATATTGAAAATATTTTTTATCATTTACATTCACAAATATCAACTGTTTATTCCAGAAAAGCAAAAACAGACGCCATTTTATGAGTAATAGTGTCAGTATTAGTATCAAGTTAAAATCTTCCCCCAACAATTTAATGGCTATATATATATATATATATATATATATGACAGAAAACTACATTTTAAAGTTTCATATACACAATACTAATACTAGTAGTAGGTTGGGTTTAAAAACAAGACTAACAAGATACACACACAAGACAAAAAAAAACAATGCAATTAATGTACAACAGGTTCCAAAGAATACTTTAAAAAATTAAACAAATATCAATATAACATTTTTTATGTACAGAAAATGAGGAATTAGATCCCCTATACTATGAAGTCAAGAGAATGGCGGAGTAAACACAAGCACCTATGTGGATGCATGTACGGACAGAAAAGGGCAAAAGAGAGTGGGTATATATAAGTACAATATGCAATATTATTACTATTGTTATGATTAATATTATTGGTAGACATGGGCATAGTAAATTTTTAAAACTGTAAAAAGGGCAAACAAGTTTGAACATATATTTTACAATGAGATAAATTTATGTAGGAGAATATCAGGAGTAGAACTAATGTACAATTTAGGTTAGTTTTCATTCGTTCAGTCTTACATATAGACATATATACGGAAGAAACAGTGAAATCGCTAATTATATTCACAATCTTTATGACTATTATTCTGGATGAATAAAAAAGGAAGGAGAAAAACAGTATAAAACATAATTGGTTAGCATTGTTTTAGTATTTTCCATAGTGAAATTATCAATGAGTTTAATTATTACTACGACTAGTACCTTAATTACAGTATTTGGTAAGCATGATAGGGACTAGAAGGAGTAAGGACGAGCAGGGAGGTAATTGAAAGGTTGATAGTTATATATTGGCGCTGATAAACAGAAATAGACAAAAAAGTGGGTGAAAATCACAGAGTGCTCGAACGATCTTCTCTCTATCTCCTGTTTGTTTGTTTTCTCTACACATCCCAATGTAAATGAGGAAATATATCTCTTTTTGACAAAAACAAAAGTTTACATTGTCAATCAAAATGATGGTCCGCGACTAACTACAACTGCATGCCCAGATTTACCACAATCCATAAAAGTTCGTTCAGTCCATTGATCTTTAATTGGATTATAAACTTCAACACTGGCTAGAAATTCGCTTCCATCGTAGCCACCTAAACATAAAAATGCGAACAACGAGAGCACTTAACATTAATAATAATGATCTTTAAGGGAACAAAGAATGCATCAATTTTGATAAATAGAGAATTTACATTTGTCAATTTCAGGACAACTTATAGTACTGGATGAAACTCGATTTAGATATCAGTCTTTTAGTTGAATCTGGAAAATGAGCCACGCTACTTACTCACTATAAATTGATAGACTCAGAAAATTCCTCGAAAAAATCTCAAAGGAGCCCTGAAAACTCTGAGAAACATTGTATCCAATCAGCATTGAATAAGAGTTTCTAGGATGCATCTAGAAAGTGAAGAGTCACGTGTCACATTTCTGAATGGATGATTACCTATCCCGTTACTATGTTTAGTAGGGTTCCAAAACTTTACAGAAGCCCGAGACCATCTGAAATGTTATAAATACCTCCGATTTTCTGTACACAAACTAAACTTGGAGTAGAGCATTCTTTCCGTATTTCGCACCTTCTATCTCGTGTTCAAGTTATCGTGTAGAGTTAGCCTGCAGTTGTTAGAAGAGCTTAGGAAACTGATTCAAACGTTCACTCCGAAGATTTATCAAAAATGATAGATGTAATATTACAAAGAAAGAAGAAAAAGGCATGACACTATTTCCTTGAAAGGTAGATAACATGTAAGACACAAGTTATGCAGGACACTTAACGGTCTAAGACTTGACCATCGGACTTAATCCTCAGCCAAAACATTAAACATATAAATGAATGAGGAAATGTTATATAATAATAATGACAATAGTAACAATAAAATGTGATATTATTTTAAAAAATAAACTTTATTCATCTATTCACATATTCACCAACTCACCAAAAACCCATATTTCATTTCCCCATACTGAAGCACTTAACGCTGATCTTGGATGTAGCATAGATGCACAGTATTCCCAACAATTTCTTTTAGGATCATAACGTTCCATTGTATTTAGCTGACTACAGGAATCATACCCACCAATTGCATAAATGTATTCACCGAGTGCAACAACACCTTTAAAAATATTTCACAAAAAATTATATATATATATATATAATATTACGCAATCACCTTTCAATGACAGTAGTGGGTATCTGTCTAACAATCAAGACACGGTTATCCTTGAGACGTAGAAGTCTGAAGGAAGTCTTTTACGAAATTTGAAGTAATTAGTGCCTTTGATGAATTTCAAAGACGAAGATTATCAGAACTATGTGATATATTAGCGCAACACATTTCGAACAATCTGATCATACATATACTTGTTAAGAACATTAATATATGAAAATAAAAGGTCAACTAGACTAGAAATTGAGGGTAAGAGAAGACGATGATAATAAAGAAAATAATGTGAAAACAATTTGAAACCTCATTACTCTGGATAATAATCTAATATTACCAGGGTAGGTTTAATGTGAGAACAAACTGCTTTTGAATATACAGAGGGGGTATGAATTTTCGTATGGCTAATGCTTCAATAAACCTTATTATATGCACTTCTACACTTTCGTACAACACCACAAAACCGTATTAAGATCAATCTTATGACCTGTTTCAGATCAGATTGTTCGAAATGTATTGCGCTAACATATCACATAGTTCTGATAATATTTGTCTTCTTATTATGCCATCGAAAGTAGAAGTCTGCGTTAAGACTTGTTCTCAGAAAAACATTGTAGGAATACCTGAGTCCTAAGACTGTCGTTGTAGCTTCTGACTAGTACTCCGGAAGCTGTATTGTATTTTAATTCAAATTTCAAAGATATTACGTTACAATTCACTGGTTCTTATCATCATTCATAATGACAACCTAGGTCAAGTTACAATAATCCCCCCCAAATGCCCTGGTACGGTCGAGAGTGGAGAGAGTCCATTCTCCCTCGAAAAATGCTCTCACATGGCTATGCGTATATAGCCTCTACCAGAGAAGTTCTACTCAATGCTTTCTCGTGGCATTACTCTTGTTTACCAAATTCAGAGGAAGAAAAGCGAATGTCCAGCGCTTTAACCGGGTTGGTGGACATGGAGAGTCCACCTAGGGAAGTTCGAAAACCCTGATTCCAAACCAATGGTGCACATGGGCTCCAGTATCCTGAGGAAACAAATGGCATATGAAACAATTGTTGGTCACCGGCTACCATGGGACTGCATCTCCTTACGTTGCTCCACTGCCTTGTAGATCAGACCTTTAGGTCAAAGGCTCCGGGTGTGGCCCCGTAAAAAAAACCCTGCTTCGATTTGGGCAGCCGGGAAGTATCACAGGCGTCACACAAATCAAATGAGATTTGTGTAGTGCATATATATTTGGTGCATCCTTGTACCAATATCCATGTGATAAAATAAATAAATAAATAAAACAATATCCAAAAATGACTAGACAACTGTTTAGTGTAGAGTAGTACATAGTTCTTTTTACAAATAATAGTCTTAACTTCTACACGAATATAATTCATATTTTCTTCAAAAATTTCTAAAAATTCTCATCATCTAATTACTATGAAGTAGTCACTAATTCACCATCTGAGGAAACGTCATATAATAATAAACTATCATGGACTACATAATTGGCTGAACTTAGTTAAACAACCATTGGATAGCTAACTAACATCAGTTCATGATGTCATCGATGTAAATCTAACAATCTCCACAAATCCCGTATGCTGATAATAGTAATGATTTGTTCCAGGAATTCTGAGGAGCTACGACTAATGGAGTTAAATCATATCAAGTATAAGATAGTTATTCAACAATGATACTAGAAGATGATCACAATATCATGAACTGATTGAAATTTGCAATGTACACTCTTGGATGGCAGCAAAGTGAACTAAAAATGATGTGCTCGTCGTATGTTTAATAGTAATAATAATCAGTTAGTTTGTTAATTTAAAATACATTGCCACAATGAACTAAACGCTTGACTATTAATATCCTAGAGTGGGTTGGGGTTTATCAGATAAATACTGGTGTTATCGTTGAAGATGTTTCTTGTTCTTCTACCCAACATTTTTTCTGGGACTCAGTCAATACTTTTAACTAGTGGGACCAAGCCATATTGAGGGTGTGAGGAAAGTACTGACCGAAGACATTGGAAGATAATCGTGTGCTGTCATTGACTGATTGAAGTTAGACCTGTACACACTGGACCTCAGTTCAGTAATCTAGAGGCTAAGTTTTTGTGCCCAAGACCAAAGATTTTAAGTTCGGTTCCCGGTTGCGGAGTCGTGGATGCCCACTGCTGAGTTCCGCACTAAGACGAAACGGTTGTCCAGTGCTTCCATTTTTTCAATGGTGGACTAACTTTGATCGGATCATTGCTCCAATGAAATATTTTTAATTCTTCGAACAAGGGATTTAAGTGGAAAAATCCGCTAATTTCCATAGCTTTGACCAGTAAGTTTAAATAAAGCCAAACTACTCATAGGAAAGAGGGATATATGAAATGTATATTGAACAAATAATAGTGATAATGACAATAATAATCAAAGTAAAAATAATAATATGAAAAATGTTTTTTACACAGTATTTTTTACAACAAAACTGTTAAACTGTCATCCTATTTTTTCTAAATGAAAAACTGTATTTCGTTTATAACTAGGCCGAAATATTCCATATAAACATTCTACTAAACTGTTACGTATGTTTTACGCTACTAACGGTAGGGACCATATGATAATTAGACAGATCAATAAATAGACAGGGACTGGTATTATCAGACAGACATTAGTATTGTTAAAAAGAAGTTATGAAAAAGATAGGACAACGACAAGAGGAAAACCAGACAGAGAATACCAACATTGTTGATCTGGTGAGAAAAGAGAACAGATTGGCAACATACATAAAACAAAACGGGTTGATAATAACAATCTGGATTTGGACCCAGACATAGATGTGTATGTGTGTGTTTATGTATATGCATACATACATACATATGTACGTACAAGTAAACGATGTTGATAATGACTACAACAAAGACGAAAAAACAATAATCATAACAACAAGTCTTTAGAGCACAAAACAACTGACAGTCTGTCTACGGATAATAGTTTTAATTATAATAAACCAAATACAGTCTACGATGATTTGGATAAAAAAAAGTTAATTATCACTATTAGGCGAAGTAGATATTATTAAATGTAAATAACCGTTAGGTAGATAGACAGCTAGGCAAATAGACGAGAGACCAAATGGATAAGTAGATAGACAGGTAAAAAAAAAGTTAGACAATCTCTCCTATTTTTTACTGATACACACAAGTGAATACGCACAGGATTTCTCACATTTTCTACGTCTTTACTACCTGATGATATATAGATATACGTGTACACATACGATTGAAGATGTTGTGCTATTACAGATAAATGCATAACATAATAAGTTGATAAATTAACAAAAGTCAAAATCGACATGAATATCAAAATAATTTAGTGAGAGAAAAAAAAATCTAGACAATTAGGCTACGTGTACCAGAAAATAATGAAGATTCTTTCTGAGATGTAGGCATAGACACACACGTGCATAGGAACGTAAAGATATACAAACAGAGAAGTCAAACTGCGTAAACAAATTATTCAACAGAAAGAAAATAACAAGTATCAGTAGAAAGAAGAATAGCAAACAAGATCAATGAGAAGCGAAGATTAAGTCGTGACGACGTGAAAAATGTGTATGAGTCAATGCATTTAGCTGAGTCATACTGTCTTGCTCTGTTGACTGGTTTAAACACAGTATGGTCAGAAACATTGATTTGGACATGTATAATAAACAAAATGAGTATGCTATCTAAAAATGAACAAATTATTGTGTTGGATAATAATAATGAAACGTGACTTATTTTAAATCCCCTATATATATATATATATATACTGACAGAAGCTCAGTGGTTATTCGAGAAACTTTATTCCAATCAAAATCAGCTGACCCAATGAAACGTTATTCTATCCTTTTATTAAGAGGAAAAAACTCCGTTTTGATTGACATTGAACTGAATTTATTTATTTTCCTTCAATGTTATTCATTAAAAAGTTTATGATTATTATTAATAGTAATAATAAACTGAAATATACTTAACTATGAGATTCAAAAACGCCAATTACACAGAACACTTTCAGTAAGAAAGTTGACATTTTAGTTTTTCTTATTGTCAAATAACTTCTTGGTATGGTGTACGTAAAGAGGATCATTCTCGGTGTATTCATTACTGATGAGCTCCGAACTCTTTATGCTACCTTAATACGAAATATTCATCCAGTGATCAGAATAAAGTCATTTGTACAACAAACTGATCGACCAAAACAAAATCTGACATATCAGATAATGATATTTAAAAGTTCCATGTTAAGTGAAGAAGCGTGGGGTCAATTTATAATGAGTAAGTAGGTTAATCATTTAACCATAGACACCGTCTACCTGTTCTCACATAGGGATTAACCTACCAACACAAATGTCTGAATGATTGATAAAAAAATACTCTGTCCATTATCTAGAAATATATCCACCTACACAGTTTAATTTTCTTTATTTCTGCTGTGCTGATTATGACGTTTAAAAAGTTTGTATATTGTAACTGAATTGTAAACTATACTATAAACTGTTTAGTATACCTTTTACCAACATCATTTAATAAGTAAACCAACTGATTAACCAATTCCTAATCATGTAACACTTCAAATTAACCTTAGTGATAGCATGAAAAAAGATATAAATGGGTAAGAAATGTCAAACTGATGGACACATGATTTACCATGTAGATGCTATTATACAAAAAAGCATTACCAACATACATACACCAGAGAGAGAGGGGGGTAAGAGAATTGTGCACAAAACAGTGAAGACAGAATGAGACAAAACATTCAAAAGAATACTTTGTTAAAGATGGGAGGAAGGACAACAAAAAAGCGACGAAAATGGAACATATTGACGAGAAAACAAGTACACTTCAATGAGGAAAATCGAATTGTATACTAATATTTTACTAACGAAACACTTCTATCCCTCCCTCGCCCTTTTTTAAATCACTGACAGCTATTCGACTGACCTCATATAATCAACATTTTAAAAACAAACAGGATTAAAGTCTAGTATAAAATACGTGAATCTTATATATACAAAGTAAATAAATAAATCCAAACTTACCTGCACCAGATCTAGCTCGATTTAAACAAGCTAACTCTTCCCAATTATCCTTTTCCGGATCATAACGTTCAACTGTATTCAAACGTTTTTCACCATCAAAACCACCAACAGCGTATAATAAACTAAAAATATTTTTAAGAAATAATATGTAAATAACACCTACTCTGTCCAATAAATATGAGAGGAGATTTACATATTTCTTATTTCTGTACTAATTCTACTATTTTGCAATCTAGAAATTGATAGTGCCTTAAAAAACTCTTAGACTCCTTACAAAGGTGGAGTAGAGATGTTTTCAACCCTTGTCAACGATTTAGATTGATGAACAAATAGAATAGTGAATAAACACCAAACTTTGAGGAAAACTTTCAGAAAACTCATCAAATGTCGAGAGCCACTTATAAAACTTAAACTACCGAAGAAAAAACTCATTTTAAGTAGGTCAATAGTTTTAGTAGTGCCTAGTCCTACGTTGTAGCTGACTGGCTGGTGGGTGTTGATGAAAACTGAAAGGATAATCCAAGATCAAAGTGTTTGTTAAGAAGGCAACTTGAAAATCGAACTTCTGAAGACTTTCCAAGGTGGTTTACGAAGTCAGAAAGGAGACAGTACAAGTGTGTAGTAACAAACAGGAAATATTTTAAAAGGTAAGATTGGTGTATTTTATATTTCAGAACCATAATTCACGTTTTTAGTAGACAAGGTGTACATAATGACTTATCAGAAACCTTTATAGTTTCATCGATCCATCTCATTTTAGTTTTTAATTGGAGTACAATTTAAAAGAAATAATAATTAAACAAATAATATTAAATTTGATCTTCTAAATAAGATACTCATTGTTACGGTTTTTAAGCGCGAATCATCCTTTAACATAGCTCATTAATACCAGTTAACAGTTAAGACATATCTTGTACAATTTCAATGAATAGATTATTGTATTTGTCATTAATGAGAGAAAATTAGGAAAAAGAATAGACACAATGAAGCTCTGTGTACATCCCAGCTTATTTCATACTTTTTAGCACATTCAGTAAAGATTATAATAATCATGAAAAAGTTCGAATAAAATATAAATCTCGAATTGTAAATAGATAAAATAAGTATGATAGAGATTGTGAATGATAAAATAATTCATATGTGATAATAACTTGAATTAAGTTAGAATGGCAATAATTTATTTCTCAAGTTAGTCAACATCGTTTAGTGCAACCTGAGAAAAAAATGATTGTTTCAATTAATAGATCATCAATATAATAAAAACGATTCACCTAAGAGAATCAGACTCTGAACTGATCAAACAATGATAGAAATAAGAATCTGGGTCATCCACACTGTATTATTGATTTAGGAAAGTAAGTTAATGTCTTTCGTTTACATTGATTACTTTAAAGTTTAATAACTTTTAAATAATCCCTGGTAAAGACTAAGTAATTTAAGTATCTTCCTAAATACGACAATTATCAAATCACCTTGATCTGATCTCTCTTATAATTATTGTGAAATTACCTAGTCAATTTAAGTAACTAAACTCATAATCATACATATCTATACACGTAATTCATTCCGCTAATACATTACATTCACAAGGAACATTTCCCAGAAACAAAATCTCATCACTGATTATTAGCATTCTTGTTACGTACATTGTAACCGTATGATTAGTTTAGAAATAAATACAAGTAGACCAGTGAAATTTACAATCAAATTAGTCAACTTTTATTTTCAAGAAATACAAGTAAACAGAATGAGGAAATTCAACAAGAAGTCATTGTGTCTATCAATTCACTGATCCAATTCTAACAATCTATAGGTGACGTTTATCAGGAAAGATATATTTGTTATGAAACGCCCTGGTAATAATAATGCATGTTTTTGTACAAGAAAAGTTGAGGTCAAATTCGATGTTTTTCATTTTTCGTCCATACCCGTAAGAATTGATGAATTCAAATTATAGTTATTTAAAACTTATCCAATATGCCTAACACGTATTGTGCGATGTATTACCTATTACTAATTAGTTGATAGTTAGTATTTTTGTTATATGGAAAGATTTAGTCTTGTACATGTGGTTCTATGAATTTTCACAAGTATACCAACAATTTTGCGAACATTTTTTATTGAATATGGTTTCTAGTTGAGTTTATCACACAGTTGTGTCTTTATTCGTATTAAATATGAGAATTAGATATATTCAGATTGTATTTTTGAAGCATATTACATACCTTAGATGCTATTTAACGATATTAACAGTACAATTCATTAGTTACTGACTACTTATGAACCTCTATAACAGAATAATTGAAGACAAATTAGTTAAATATGTTACGTTAAGCTGGACAGCTTATGATGAAAATACTAAATAATTTATCATAATACACTTGGAATCGGTGAGTCAGTCAGTCAGTGAGCTACAACGTAGGACTATGCACATATATGCATCGATCCAAGTTGCCACACCGCATTAGTACCATAAGATGAACACTGGATTCATAGGAGTAGTTAATTCAGTTGTGGTAATATATAAAAGAAGGATTGCATATAAGGATACAGTACAAGAAGAAAGATTTAGTACGTAGAAAGAAAGATATGAAGCGATTTTAATCTCTTAGTTTAAAGGAAGACAGAGTGTATACACCAACGCCATTGTGAACGATTCTCAGACATGTCACTCACAGTCTCCAACCATTCGATACAATAGTCACACGGACCACAACTTGGTGACTTCAAGCATTGATGCCACGTTTTCGTTTGGCCGACCCTAACTTTCTTCCAACCATCCCCAACACCTGTTAGCATTGCACGTCGTGGCAATCGGTGTTCAGGCATACGTAACACGTGGCCCAACCATCTCAGTCGATGAAGATTCATAACCTCATCAACTGATTTACCATCATTCCCTAATACCCTGCGTTTAACCTCACTATTACTTACCCGGTGATCCCAGCAGACGCCAGCAATATTTCTAAGGCATCTGTGGTCAAATAGTAATAGCTTACGAGTGTCTCCTACTCTTAATGGCCATGTTTCGCTGCCGTAAAGTAAAACAGAACGGACGGCCGTGCAGTATACTCGTCCTTTTATTGATAGACGGATATCTCGCCTTCGCCATAGGTGACGCAAGTTGGCAAAAGCCAAGCGAGCTTTTCGAATCCGTGCTGAGATTTCGTCAGACACCAACCCATTAGGGCTGATCAGACTTCCAAGATAAGTGAAGTTGTCAACGCGTTCGACGAATTCACTCCCTTTCCTCAGTTCAGGTGTTGACACAGACCAGTCCTGAAGCAACAACTTGCATTTAGAGAGAGAGAAGTGCATTCCAAACATTCTGGCGTTGTTGCTCAGTGCTACCAAAATACTCTGCATTTTGTCAGCGTCTTCACCAAACAGGACTATATCATCTGCGTATTCTAAGTCGATAAGCGAACCTCCAGGTAGGAGATCAATACCCGAGAATTCAGTCGATGAGAACGTTATTTTCATCAGTAGGTCAATGATGAAATTGAACAAAATGGACAGCTTTGCCGGACACCACTCGAGATCGAAAAATCAGATGACAGTTCGCCATAAGCTCTCACTCGACTAGTAGTGTTCGAGTAAAGAGCCTTCACAATGTTTATGTACTTCTGAGGTACGCGTTTCAATGACAGACAATGCCACAGAATCTCGCGGTCTACCGAGTCAAATGCTGCTTTTAAGTCAAGAAAGACCACCATTGTCGGACGCCGATAAGTATGCCTGTGTTCTAGAACCTGACAAATGGTGAATATGTGGTCGATGCAGCCACGACCAGGTCTGAAGCCAGCTTGATTCTCTCGTGTTTGCAGTTCACGAGTCTTTGTCAGGTACCCAATAATCATTGAGGCTAGTATTTTAGATACTATATTAGTTAAAGTAATCCCTCTATGGTTGTCACAGGATGATTTCGACCCTTTCTTATATATTGGGACGATAAGTGGCTGTGACCAGTGAGATGGAATAACGTCTAATTCCCAGATCATAGCTAAAATATTAGTCAACCTAATCGCTAAAATTAGACCACCATCCTTAAAGACCTCTGGAGCCAGTCCATCTGGACCAGCTGCCCTTCCTCGTTTCAGATTAACTATAGCCGTTTGAACTTCTGCTAGAGTTGGAGGACCTACTTCAATGTTCCATTCACACTGTCTGGGAATGGTGAGTAGTTGTAGAGTAGCTGAACGCCAACCAAACTGTTCTCTGAAATGTTCCGCCCATCGTTCTAAACGTCTGGACTGAGAGCAGATGAGGGTCGTCTTTTTCCGAAATAGCCTGACTTACACTTGACTTATTAATTCCAGTTTCTTTTATTAGTCTGTAGAGCTTCCTTGTGTTCCCTATAGCCGCCGCCTTTACCATCTCCTTTGCTTTCGTTGCCCATCACTGCTCACGGTCGTTCCTTAGACTTTCGGTTAACCTAGATCTGATTTGTTGTCGCTCTTTATCGTGTTCAGAACCCGATGGGATGAGTTTACGAGAATCCGTCAGTGCAATAGACCTTGAGGAGATCCATTGGTTCTTTGTAACCCTGTGGTTTAAATCACTAATATCTTTCCAAGCAACATCCGGGTTAGCCTCGTTTTCAGAACTACCTAATTATGACCTCAGTTGTTCCTGGAACCTACTTTTGATTTTCTCGTTACTCAGCTCAGTTCTAATGGGTTTTTTAATGTGCCTTTTTTGCGTTCAGTGAAGCGCAAGCAGATGCATGCTCGTATTAGAGCATGGTCGGAGTCCAGACAGGTACTCCAGAATGAGCGACAATCTTCTATCGACCTTCTCCAACGATGACTGATGGCAATATGGTCTATTTCAGTCCATCGTTGGTTTGGTGCAGGGGTCGCGATGTTAGGGAATGTCTCTCCTTATGCCTAAAATAAGTGTTTGCTAAAAATAAACGATTGTCTGAGCACAGTTGCAGCAGACGATTGCCGTTACTTGTTCACTGAGCCGGAATATTAAAATACCCACCTAAATGCCTTTCTGTTTGGTTTAGGCTACCTATCTGGGTATTAAAGTCACCTGCCACGGGTACAACGTCTGAACGTTTAGCTTTCTGTAAAATTCATCTTTCACTTCATCCGAGCTGCAGTCAGTGGGAGCGTAGGCAGAAACGACAAAAAGGCAACGACCATTTGGAATCATTACTTGTATATAAAAAGTGTTCTGAAATTTCTATGTGGACAAAATATTACACTTAAAAGACAAAATAAAGAAACGAGAAACAGAAAAAGTTACATGGAATGTAAACAAAACTTGCAAAAATCATTTACTTACCGATTAAGTACAGCGACACCTAATCCAATCCGTCGACTATTCATAGAAGCTATCGGTATCCATTGATCCATATCTGGATCATATCTACAATACAGAATACAATACTATATATATATATATATATATATATATATATATATATATATATATATGAAGAATATATCTGCCGTTTATCATAACAATACTGATAAATTCAATGATCACATACACTAAACTGTAGACCAAAACAAATCTATCTATTGTTGATCAGTATTATTGAGAAAGCTTATTGTAATTATTGGTAGTTTTAACTATGTTAGATTAAATTTTAGGAAAAGAACTAAGGTAGGTCAGCTGTGTACATTATAACACAAAATTTTTACCGTATGGGTTTATGTAATTAGCGATAATCTACTCTACGTGACAAGGTTTAGTTATACTACGCGGGTCTGTGGTTAGGGTTTATGGGCTAGAATTATGAATTATACATAGTATACATAAACCAACTTAAATTGTAAACCTGAATTCTAACAGTTACAAACGTAAAATATACTTGAAAATTTCATTAATTATGTAAAATCAACATATCATTGGTAAACTCAGATTCGCTGTTATTTCATTTAAATAAGAGTTAAAAATTCCAAGGTTGCTCAACAGGACAATTTGGGTTTATTATATTTATAAATATGATCAAGGAATATTTCCTCCTTATGCATACTGGTAGTACAGATCTACGCAGTCAACATTTAGTCACATTACTTTTTGTGAAGGGTAGTAAAACACAACCTAGCTGCTATCTGTACAAGCACAAGAGTAGGTTTTGTGGGTTTGGAACTTCTAATCTAGTCAAATACTGGGCAAACGAGTCAAATTATTATTTATCATGAATCGGTCGATGTTAGACTACCACTGGAAGTACTGGTCGGCCGTTTCGTCCTAGTATGAGACTCCTCAGCAGTTGGTATTCACGATCCCGCTCGCGGAATTTGAACCCAGGGCGTTTGGTCTCGCGAGCAAACGCTTAACCTCTAGGCCACTGAACCGGTATCCAACGATGTTAACGTCTAACTTCAACCAATCCACAAAATTGAGCGACCATCTATTGTTTGAGGTAGATACCTGTCTCTATCTGACATGGATTAACTCCATTGGCCACGGCTTCTCGTTAGAACTCCGAGAATCCCCTCACAAAGCTAGTCACTAGTGAGCACATGGCAATTATCAATTTAGGGTTGTGGGGATTGTTAGGTTTTTGATTGAGATCATGAATCGATTGATTTTAGTTTATCACATAGGTAGAATTTAGGTGAAAACCATCACTACTGATCACTGTCATAACACAATATGCTTTACGCACGTTTTTATTAATTATACATAAATGCTCAAATGATTTATGTACATAGTACTTTGGAGTGTTAAATTCTGTTGTAAAATTCCTTCGCAAATCGACAGAAACACAATGAAAGAGAGCATATGTTCTGTAATCATCATTATATATACTTTAGATACATTCAAATTAAATGAGTAAACAAAAGATAATAGAGTGACTGTTATCAATAGGCCTCCAGTAAAATAATGTAGACTATATATACATAATTCAGAGATTGCATTGATAAAAAGAAGTCGAAACTACAAAGATTGAGTATTTTATTTTTCATTGAATTAATTTGATCATATTTTAACGAATCATAAATTACAATATCATATTTTTTTTTGTACAGAGTAGTTATAATCATGCACTTTTGACAAGGCGAAAATATAGGTCGGTTTATCTATCTATTTATATTTATATCAGTCTAAACATGAAAAAAAGTATCTGTTCAAGGTCATCTGATCTAAACACGTATGGACTAGACAAAGTCAAACATATGAACCCAAAAGAATCAGACAATCGACAAATAAATGCATTTATTGGCATTCATTAGTAAAAAAAAATTTACAGTTTGTCTAGAAAATTAGAGGGGAAAAAAATTTATTTATCTAAACACGTAAACATTGGAATAAAAGGGCACCAAATACATATACGCTACACAATAATACTGAGGCCAATAGTAGTTATCATTGATTTGCATGAGGGCTGTGATACTGTCCAAGTGCCTAAACCGAAGCAGGATGAGGGAAGAGAAGAACTACGGAAGTGACTACCGACATATTATATTAATAATGAGAAAAAAAGTTGTTAAGACAATAAGTATAATCGCTAGTATATACTGTGACGAAGTTTCGCTAAATATATATATATATATATATATATATATATATATATATATATATATATATATATTTGTATTTTATTGATTGATTGAAGGTGTAAAAACATGTAAATCAGGTAAGAAATATTTTTCATTTAATTAGTAATAGTAACTAACATTAAAGAATGAAATTCTAATAAGTTTCCAATGTACATTAAATTTTTTTTTAAAATTATATATAAACTCATTAAATCTTTATATTGAAATTATTATCCCTGATTTAATATGTCTAATTAATCTTATCTAACTGGACAGAAAAATATGCACAAAGAACCACAATTTAATATTTTGAACACTAACCATAATGATATATAAATGTTAAAGTATGTTATTACTTTGAGTAAAAAAAAGTAATAACTTATGACAGAAATCTTACTACTAAAGGACAGCTTTTTGTAGATAGTCGAATTTCAGTTTTCCACCAATGACATAGAATGATGATTGAGTAATATTGCAGTTTGATCGAATATAGAAATCTAAACTATTGGATGATAACTTAGTAGCCGAAAGCCCCCAAATGCCCTGGTACGGTCGAGAGTGGAGAGAGTCCACTCTCCCTCGAAAAATGCTCTCACATGGCTATGCGTATATAGCCTCTACCAGAGAAGTTCTACTCAATGCTTTCTCGTGGCATTACTCTTGTTTACCAAATTCAGAGGAAGAAAAGCGAATGTCCAGCGCTTTAACCGGGTTGGTGGACATGGAGAGTCCACCTAGGGAAGTTCGAAAACCCTGATTCCAAACCAATGGTGCACATGGGCTCCAGTATCCTGAGGAAACAAATGGCATATGAAACAATTGTTGGTCACCGGCTACCATGGGACTGCACTCCTTACGATGCTCCACTGCCTTGTGGATCAGACCTTTAGGTTGAAGGCTCTGGGTGTGGCCCCTTAAGAAAACCCCCTGCTTCGATTTGGGCAGCCAGGAAGTATCACAGCTCTCACACACATCAAATGAGATTTGTGTGGCGCATATGTATCTGGTGACCCCTTGTACCAAATACCTATGTGTTCAAATAAATAAATAGTAGCCGAAGGGTTAAGTGCTTGTTGAAAAACCTGAAAGTCTTGGGTCTAGCGCCTGGTGTGCTTGCACACTGCTAAGTAGTTCATACAAGGACGAAGTAACTGTTCAATACTTCTTGGTTTTTAATGAATTTCTAATATTAGTAGTCCAAATTTCATGGTATTAACATTAACAACTAATTGAGTCGAAAATATTTGAGTTATGTGTCACTTAACATGATTATGGTCATTTGAATAATTGTCAGGTTTGCGTTAAGATAGATACAATAAACAATACACTATTAATTAAATGTAAAATTATCAGTTAGAAAACAAACTAAACCAAATACTTACTTTTCAGAGCTTTTATGGTGCATTGTATTGGTTGAACCACCAACAGCATAAATCATATCGTCGACAACACCAACAGCAACTCTGTTACGAGGCACTGACATAGGAGCACATGTAGTCCAACAATTTTTTCTTGGATCATAACAATCCATGTGAGGTGCATCTATATTTCCTTGTTCATTATTATTTCTGCCTCCTACAAGATAAACGCAACTACGTACAGAACAAGCAGACAGGCCACTTCGTGGGCTAGGTATATCTGGTAGACGTCTCCATTTAGCTGTAACGGGATTGTAACATTCAAATGCACTTAGCGAATAACGCAGATAACCACCAGCTGAGTAAAGAATCTGGAAAATAAGATTGTGTAACTAACTAGTCATCAGAAAAGGAACTGGCGAAAAATGTCAAAAATAGAACTCAGTGATTAAGTACCAGTTTATGTACTAGAAGCCAAAACAAAAATTAGAATTTCGAACTTAGTGGTCAAACGTTTCAGATCAATAAACCACAATACTACCATTCATAATAACTAAGCGTGGGTTAATACTACTATTACTACTCAGTTCATGAAACTGAAGTCACGTTAAGTAAATATGAACATCGAATCTAATGGTTATAAAGTGAATTTGTGAGTCATCGAATCATAATATAATATCTATGAACGAATTTAACTCTTCTTAATTTATTCCACAGGGGACATAAACAATATATTTCACCTTATATCACCAACAAAATTTAACTTTGATTTTCCTACAATTAAATCCCCTAAATAAAGTCAAACATTTAGTGCGAATCCGAGATGACCGAAAAAAATCTTTTGTACTTTTATATACAAACATCTAAGAGTTATTTTAGATGAACGTATGATCTAGATTGATGAAAGACGTTGTGCATATATCCGATGTTCAAAACGTTATGTTTGTAAGGTATGGGTCCAAAAAGTAACCCAACAAACGATACTATTAAACACCTACCAATATGATTAGCTTTTACTAAAGAACAACCTTAAAAAAAGCGGATGTGAATGTCGTTCTAGCCCACTTAGGATAAGCCATCAAGGCAAAGTGTGGGAGTGCATCATAAAATCAAGAAGGTTTTTAAGAAATTTATCAACATTTCTGGCCAGGGCCGAAAAAAATACTGAACAGACCACTGGTGAAGATGACAGATGATTGCGTCGCCCTAAAGGCACTTACTCAAGATAAGTTGTCAGTTCAGAAAAGATTATGATTCGGCGAAGCCTCAGTCCAAAAAACTTTATAATACAGTAAAAGATGGGAGGAAGCGCAGAGGTTAGCTACTGAATTTCGGGACAGACATATGCGAAAATATTTACTTATCCTTCAAGCAATAGCTAAATGGTTGGAAATACGAAAAAATCTGCAGCCAGGTGGTTAAGTCCCCGTTGACTATGTCGAAGCAAGTAGGGATCGGTTATCTGAAGCCAATGTCAAGAAAGTAAGCTAAAGACCTGGATGGAAGGCCTAAAATAGTACCCTTAAAGACTCTTGATAACCAGTCGTCTCTCGCATCCAAAGAAGTTGATAAAGAAATTCACTTGTTATATTTTCGGTCGTACATCAAGGTCCAAAAGGTGTTGATGGTCGCAAGATTACCTTTAGTACTCAGGACCGTGTTCATGGCGCATTAGAATGTATCATGTTCTCGCCCAAAAAACACGAATTTCTCAAGAGTTGAAAACGAGAAGATTAAGGTATTGATTGGTTGTAATGCACACTAAGACTATGTGCTCGACAGCCTAGGGACCAGCTTAGAAATTCATCTGTGGGTAATTAAATCCTATAAAGCCTTTGCCACAAAAAATATGATTTATAAGCCTAACTGACCGAGAGAAATTAGCACAACGAGCAGAGAAGGGAGAGATGTTAGCTACCATAGAAAGTTGAACACTAAAAATTTAGCTAACTAATAGCCATTGGAGTATTTTCTTCAAGACAATACAGTAGAGACGGGTTATTTTAAAGATAATACTCACAATGGAGGAAATCAAGCTATTTGCAAGAAAAGATTTAATTACATGTTGGCTAAACACAGCAATGGTTTAAAAATCTATTCTAGTGTCAAAAAATTTAAAATCAATTAGAGACAACAAGTTTGACAATTTCATCTTGACAAAATTTTTCACCGATTCCAATTTTAACGAAGCAGTAAGTGCTTTTAGAAAAAATGTTAACCTAATAGTTACCAATTTTTAGTACTCATCATTAAACTATTATTACTTTTATTATACAAACATATAAAATATGTTACAACAGAGCACCGAAAAATAGAGTGGGTCACATATAGTATGCAGAAAATATTGTGAATGAAAGGGAATACTATATTTAAAGAGAAGTAAGAAATAAATGCACAAAATAATTAAATTATCTTATATAATCGGATAACTCCGCCTGTAGCTCTTCCAGAATTCCTGCCGGTCCCGAGCCCACACGAAGCAGAAGGGTTGGGCATGGGGTCGGCAACCTCGTCCCGTAGGAAAAAACCTTGCTAAAAAAACCCTAACCAGAATAAACAAATTAAACCATTTAAACTCTATCCTCTGAATTGAAAGAAGAATTATGACGCCTCATGATAAAAGTTGAAATTCTTCAAACATCATGAGGCTGATGCCCATTCTAACAACCAGAGCAACCATTAATATAGTTAAATGGAATGTCCAGACAATGAAGGAGACTGAAAGGACCAGTCAAACAGCTATGGGAATGAGGAGATACAACTTGACGGTTCTCACGATAAGTGAAACCAATTGGACCCAAACTGGACAGGATAGATTAGATTCGAGAGAGATGCTGTACTACCTTGGCCATGAAGAAAATTCTCCTCACTCAGGGAGTTACTCTGATGCTGTTCAAAGAAGCACGTAAAGCATTCTTAGGAAGGGAGTCACATGGATCTAGGATCACCAAACCATCCTTCAAAATGTAGAGGGAGGGAATCCCAATTAATGTCATCCAATTTTATACACCCACCAAAGATAGCAATGACGACAATGAAGATCAGTTTTACGAGAGGCCGCAATCAATCATAGCGAAGTGCACAGGAAAAGATCTGACCATCCTGATGGGAGACCTAAACTCCAAAGTCGGAATGGAGAACATTAGCTATGAAGATATCATGGGACGACAAGGACTGACTACTGGGAGAAAGGAACGAGAATGGTGACAGATTTACAAATTTATGTGTACTCAACAAAATTCCCCCACAAACGCATACACAAAGCTAAATGGGTCTAACCGGACCACACTACAGTGAACCAGATTGATCATAATCGCATCACTAAGATTTTCAGAAGGACAATGGAAGACGTGAGAACCAGAAGAGAAGCTGACATAGCTTCAGATCATCACAAACAGGTGGTTGACGAGATGAAACTGAAACTAAACAAACACTGGACAACTGGGGAAAAACCATTACAATGGTTCAATACATCCTTCCTTCGACATACTGACAAACTCAAAATAACTATCAACAGCAAGACTTACAAGATCTACTCAAAGCAGAGAAATCTACCAAGGAGAACAAGTGGAAAGGGATGAAAGAAGCACTGGCTTCAATGTGTAAGGAGGTTCTAGGCCTCAACAAGCATCATCATAAGGAATTGATCTTCATCGAAAACCTGGACAAGATTCAAGAAAAAAAGAACAAAAAGACAGCAATTAACAACAGTCAAACAAGAGCAGAGAAAGTCAAGGCACAAGCTGAACACACTGAAGATAACAAGCAAGTGAAGAGGAGTATTAGAGTCAACAAGCAGAAATACGTGGAAGACCTAGTAACAACAGCGAAAATGCTATATGACACACGAAGAAACTGACAGGGAAATATTGTAAACCAGAAAACCCGGTCAAGGACAAACATGGCAAGCCAATCACTCAGATCCAAGAACAGAAGAACAGATGAGTAGAATACTTCGAAGAACTCTTCAATACACCAGCACTACTGAATCCACCAAACATCAAAGCAGCACACACACACTGTCCTATAGATGTCGCTCCACCAACGATCGAAGAATTCAGGGTGGCCATCAGACAGATCAAGAGTGGGAAAGCAGCACGACCTGACAATATACCAGCTGAAGCACTGATGTCACACATAGAAGTAAATACAAAGATGCGTCACAACCTGTTCAGGAAAATCTGGGAAGAAAAATTGACGACAGTCTGGAAAGAAGCATACCTCATCAAGAAAGGAGATCTGAGCAAATGTGAGAAGTACAGATTAGTTACACTATTATTGGTACCAGGAAATGTTTCCAACAGTGTTGCTGAACTGCATGAAAGATTCAGTAGACGTCCAGATTCCAGGTCAACAAACCGGATTCCGTGAGGATCGGTCGCGCACAGACCAAATCACGACCCAACGGATCATCGTTGAACAACAAATTGAATGGAACTCGTCACAATATATCACCTTCCTTGATTTTGAGAAAGCATTTGAAAGTGTGGATGGAACATTATAGAAACATCTTCGACACTATGGAGTATCGGAGAAAACCGTCGATATCATACGGAACCCATACGTCGGACTACAGTGCAAAAACGTGCATAGAGGACGGCCGACAGATGCATTGCAAGTGAGGACCGCAGTCGGACATGGCTGCTTGCTCTCTCCCTTTCTCTTTCTTCTCGTGGTTGACTGGATTATGAAGACTTCCACATCTGAGGGGAAACACGGAATACAATGAACACCTTGGATCAAAACAGACGATTTGAACTTGGCAGATGATCCAACTCTTCAATCCCATACACACCAACAAATATAGGTGGAAAAAACAGTGTAGCCTCTGCATCAGTAGGCCTCAACATACACAGGGGAAAAACCAACATCTTCAAATACAACACAGAGAATACCAACACAATCACGCTTGATGGAGAAGCTCTGGGAGAGATGGAGTCTTTCACGTACCTGGTTAGCAGCATCATCGACGAACGAGGAGGATCGGATGCAGATGTGAAGGCGAGGATTGGCAAAGCAAACACAGCATTCCAACAACTGAGGAGCATATGCAACTCAAAACAACTGTCAACCAATATCAAAGTCACAATCTTCAATACGAACGTCAAGTCAGTTCTACTGTATGGAGCTGGAACTTCCAGAACTACCACAACCATCATCAAAATGTTACAAGTGTTTATAAACAGTTATTTACGTAAGATACTCAATGTCCGTCGACCGGATACCATCAGCAACAACCTACGTTGGAGAGAACAAACCAGCTTCCAGCTGAAGAGGAAATTAGGAAAAGAGGTTGGAGGTGGATAGGACATAAATTACGCAAATCGTCAAACTGCATCGCGAGACAAGCCCTAACTTGGAATCCTGAAGGGAAACGGAAACGAGGAAGGCCGAAGAACACATTACGTCAGGAATTGGAAATAAACATCAAAAGAATGAACAGCGACTGGAGACAACTGGAAAGGATTGTTCAGAACAGAGTTGGATGAGGAATGTTGGTGGTATGCCTATTCTCTTCCACGAGACGTAACAGGCTAGGTAAGTATATATTCGGATAAAGTGTATGGCCCATGCAAATACGCAAACGTCGCTTTGGTAACTGAAGTTTAATTCAGCTGCAGCATATCTGTATGCGACACTTACTGATCCTGAAGTTAATACGCAACTTTTGATAGGCGGCTATCAATAATTATCATTAGGTCCTCAAGATTTGGCAAGAAAATGTAAATGAGTTCAAATTGTTGAAGGATGAGAAAAATGTCAAGTTTCTAAACCAAAATATTTGTAATAATGCCTTTGTTTAAAGAGAATAGTATGTGCGGGGTGTATGATGATGCCTTTCAGTCTAGCAATAAATATCCGTATAAAAAGTAAAAATGTGTCAAGTATCGAAATAGAAAAACACGAAAGTTAATTTGGTAAGGTTGATGTCTTCCATCCGTCTATAAAAAGACGCAGATTATTTTCCTAAAGATTCCAGTGAACACGATCCAAGACCATTCTTTCAGCAAAGGGGGAAGGGATTGAAAATGATATCTAATTTTCAAGCTTACTCCCTACAATAAACTCTACTCAATCGCATCTAAATTCAAAGGTGTAAGGAAGAAGCAAAAAATGCAACTCGGAAATCTAGTCCTTGTTCTGTCTCAACAAGCACTAAGCAGCAGTTTTTCTGTAGTCATAACAAATAGCCGTACCATTAACATATCACTATTTTTCTTGAGATATGATAGTAGCTTCAAAGGAATAAATAAGATCAAAAAATAGATTTGTGGAACAATATTAAGCTTAAGATTTAGAAGAAGATAGATAATGATTGGATCTCCACCAATGAGATTGGTTTGTATCCATGTCATCCCCCACGTCTACAGAAATAGATCCTCGAAATACCATTTGAGCATGAACAGTGGCAAAATAATGTCAATACAACAAGTATATTACCATGAACACTTTCAATGAGAGAAGAGAAGATCTATCCCAAACACAAACACGAATATAACAGATAGGTCCTAGCAGAAGGCAAGTCTTTCAACTCTAAAATAATAGAAAACACTTTAATAATGTCATTTATCTTTAAATAAGAGCATGGATTGTTGACAAAGTAGTATTGTTTTAAATGCAAATGATTTAACAAGGCTAAGTTTATGTACACGACTATGAGCCATACATTTTATATGAATGTTAGTGAGATTACAAGACTGGGTAAACCGAAGTAGCCAGTGAGGGGAGTTTCGAACGTGAGACCTAACAACTGAAAATTGAACAGTCTAACTACTAAATTATCGCTTCAAAACGTTTATTCAATGGCCACTATACGTTTTATCAGCCACATACGAAGAATAAATATAAGAAAAAGTGTATTCATTTATATTTCTAATTATGCGAATCTATATGTATGTACATATTTAGTGAAGGGGTAAATGAGTGTTTAGCGAACTTGGAAGTAAACTATCGAGTTGGATTCGTTAACCACACTTCACGTACTTCGATTTTGGTGAGTTATTAGTAGCCCTTACACAACACGTGGCCAGAAGATAAGAACTTAAATCTTAACTTGGTCAATAAGCTAGATCACAAATAAACATTTACATATAAAAATAAGTCGAAACAGCTAAACAGAATTATAATAACGATAACCAATTTACCTCCATTGACCCAGCTGTCCGTTTATTTATTGAGATATGACGGTGTTTAATGAGATCATCCAGAATATTTTGCAAGTGAGATTTTGCAGGAGTGAAACCTGCAAGAAGACTACAATTTTTTATTTGCCCTTGTATAAATGTAGGAGGAAGTGTATAACATCTGACGGCAGACAAAGCTTCAAGCAGTGTAGATGATCTTGAATTTCTATTATGATTTACCCATCTGATAACAGCGTTATACACTTCCGCTTCAGTTCGTACATTTAATTCATCACGTTTAATTAAAGTTAAAAGTTGGTTAGGATGAAGTCCTAGAAACTCGTCATGTTTTACTATTTCGCTAAAATTTTGATCAATAAACTTTTGAGCAGCAAACGACAATTCGGAACAATTATTCGACTGCGCGAACTCTTGAATTCCAATAGCATTTGAAGGATGTAATTGCTGCTTTAAAAAACTACAACAAGCTTGGACAACATGAGACATTTGAATCATAGAAGCAGCTATGAGTAATTCACATACGTTCCGTTCACTTATCTGTATTCTACCTGTATATGCGAAATCGATTAGCTTTTTTAAAGCAGTTGCCGATATGTAATGTAATTTAATTTCATGTAAAAGTGCTTCACGCATTTCACCAGTGAACATAGCTCGGAAATATGGTGAAGCACCAGCTAGAACAATTCGATGACATTGAATTGATTCTGAATTTACACATAATGTGACATCAGTTAATTTTCGAGACTGAAATAATTCATACATAGTATTCATGGCCTCTTTTAAGTAATGATTTGATTCGAAATTCATACAAATTAAATTATCATTTGATTCATCTGAAGAGCATGTAGGTAGAATGTAAGTAGGATGTGGGATAAACAATTCTGAATTGGCTAAATCAGGGAATGATGATGAAATATCACGGTTTGTAGATGATACAGAAAGTTCATCCATGGGAAAATCTTCAACATTTTCTTTCATTATCATTTTTTCTTACTATGACTGATTACTTCATACGAGATTAATCATTTAAAAGTGATTCCTGTAAAATCAATGAAAAAAATATCTGTCGAAAACAACCATTACAAAAGTCAAGAAACCAAACTATAGGTTAGAAAGAGGACATTTATAGATAGTAAAATGCTCGATTTGAAACCAGTACCCGTTATGTGCAGTTTGTTCCAGAAATAAAGGAAATAAAACGTTTTACAGAGTTGTACGACTAAAAACAGTCCACCAAGGCAAAACTATCGAGACAAATACATTAGTGCATTAGAAAATGGAAAATAAAATCGGATACAAAGAATACAGGTGTCAAACGCTTAGATATTTACAAATCATTTGCCGATAAAGTAAAATATGCATTCTAAATTTTTCAAGACTTGATCCCCAATAGTAATTGAGAAGCCTCCTACAAGTATACGTACAAGTTGCAAACAACATGATATGTTGAGGTAATACACATTCCAGACACAAGGGTTGAAAGTTTTATAGTTGGATGCTCTTTTACAATAGTAAATACCAAAACAGTTTCATTCACCAAAAAATAATTACAACATTTATGATAACGCCCGTAGTTACACATGGTTCCTTAATACACGAAACTGAATTCATAGGACTATTTGCAAAGCCTTCCTTCCAAATGATATAATATTCTAGTTACATTCTACCGAAATGTTTTCCTGCTTCTTAAAATGACAGTAGTAAAAGCAATCAATATTGTTAGTAAATAAATCCAATCATTCACGTTCATAACAAGTAAGATACCCAACTGAAGCAATTTTAATCTCACGGTTTAAGGGAAGACAAAGGATGTACACACCTATACCATTGTGAACAATCCTCAGCCATGTCACTCACAGTCTCCAACCATTTGATACAATAGTCACACGGACCACAACCAAGTAGTCTGCATCTACCAACATGGCTCACAACACAACTTGGTGACTTCAAGCATTGATGCCACGTTTTCGTTTGGCCGACCCTAACTTTCTTCCAACCATCCCCAACACCTGTTAGCATTGCACGTCGTGGCAATCGGTGTTCAGGCATACGTAACACGTGGCCCAACCATCTCAGTCGATGAAGATTCACAACCTCATCAACTGATTTACCATCATTCCCTAATACCCCACGTCTAATCTCACTATTACTTACCCGGTGATCCCAGCAGACGCCAGCAATATTTCTAAGGCATCTGTGGTCAAATACTAGTAGCTTACGAGTATCTTCAACTCTTAATGGCCACGTTTCGCAGCCATAAAGTAGGACAGAACGAACTAGTGCCCAATATTCTCGCCCCTTAATTGATAGACAGTTGATCAAAGACAACAAAGAACCTAACACATATCCATCGGTCCAAGTTACCAAAATCCTTGAGCAAAAGGATAACTTTATCAAGAGAAATAATGAAGTAGTAGTATGCACAACTTTTCAGTGAAATTGCCTTTGTGCTTGTAAAACAATACGGTCACATACAAAATGTCAAAAACAAGAATAAACGTGACTATAAGCCATTTAACAGAGATTGTAAGTCTCAGGTTTTGTAGATCACTTACGTTCCGAAAAAGAAAAAGCTCATGAAGCTTTTGTCCTACTTCACGTTAAATATATTTTCTATTTGACAGTAATTGTACTGCCTTGCTGAAGAGACTTGCAGATTGCAAACGCTTGTGAAAAGAGGATAGTCACAGACAAAACATTGAAGTATGAATGACAAAAGAACTTTTTGTTCTATTGTAGAAAAAGTGCAGTGTGACACACGCAGTGTTAAAAGAAAATTCGCTATCTTTTTAGAATCATAAATGTTATCGCGAACTAAGGACAGCAATTTTTGCATTATTCAACGAGTTGTTTGAGAAAAACTAAATTAAATTCAGTAAAACGACTCATAAAAACCCTGATACTAATTGTAAGACAAAGAACACTAACCAAAAATCTGAGGACTTGAACGGTGTTTGTAATGCTTATTCAGAATTTCTTAGCTTTATAGACAAATTTCATAGATAGGGACGAACGTTAAAATTTTATTTTCATGAACAGTAAAACCTTTGAGGGTGTGAAGTCATATTAAACAAGGACTTTGATGCTCGCCGAAATCTGAGGCGTGATTTAGTATACATGTCGTTTTTTAGCGCTCAAAGATCCACAATAAGTATACAGGACACTGGAATTACTCAGTTGTGATTAGGAAGACGTTTTTACAATTCTCATAAGACCCGTCGAAAATAACGAACACTGCTGCGGGACAGGATGGCGAACAAATTTATTAAATATAATGTTGCAGTAGTAGTTTGTTCCCTGAGAACAAGGTCTAAAAGTGACATCATACCTAATTAAAGTCACGAAATAATCAAAGTGAAGCTAAGACTGCTTACGAATCAACGTTCATATTGAGACCAAACGAAGGATTTGTATTAACTCAATATTTCACATTTATTATTACGATATAAGTAATTAAGAGTGAGCAGCCCAGCAACACCAACATACCTCAAACCCCCGGCTTCAGCGCCACTACCAACTTGACCTTCACAAGGTTGCTTGAGACTTAGTTACAAAATTAAACAAGACTGGACACCATAGTACAAATATAGTGAACGAGATAAGAATCGTCATATCACATCAACGAAAAATATTTTAGCCGAAATTACCTCAATATTCTCTTGAATCAGAAACACTAAATGAAATTTACGACTGTATGTTGAATCAGACTTCCTTCTTCAGTAGTAAAGTTAAGAGGCCAATCGGCCTGTATAAATCGTACTGTTAATATTCAGCATTGCTTGAATGTTTTAAGAGTGAGTGCTAATAATAAGTATTCTGGTAGAAAGTCCCACTGCTTCAACCAAGCAGTGAAAAAAGGGAGTCCAGGCGCAAACACTTGGATCTCGGTTTTCGAAATTTCTTGGAACGTCATCTCAGGTGATCGGTGCTGGATATAAGGAAACAATAAAATGTGTTATTACCATGAATAATGTTCAGTATACGGTAAGCCAGTAGTAGGTTGCCTTGTAACCTATGGTATGTCTTCATAAGATGGTTCAGAGAGACCTTTCACCAATTTGTTCCCTCACCGTTGAACTCATTTTAGAATATTCATCTCATGGCTAAAACGAGGACTCACTTCTTGAGCATCATATTCCAGACGCGGCCTCACGAAATTCGGGTCTAAATAATCAAATTAGTCACTAACAGAACATAAGACCCTGATGTATTTGGCAACGGTAGCTTTGCGCTTACTCCTAGTTATGAACTACCAGATCTTTACGGGCTAAACAACTGGTATACTGCGTATGGTTCTTCAAATCTTTACGTCATCTACAAAATATGCAACAGACGACTTTGCTACGGCTAGTATGTCGTTTACGTACAATCAAAAGAAGAGGACAGAGGACTGTATCGTACGGGACTGCACTTTTTCAAGTTTTAGCATCAATAAAGCTCATTTACCAGTTCGCATTGCTTCCTATCATTGAGGGAGTCACTTATACAGTTTCTAATCCCATAACCTTCTAGTCTCAATTTACGACTAAGGTGAGTGGCCTTGAAAAATACATCCACTGAAATATTCCTATCTTTCGCTGCAGTTCATTCTTGTCTTGCAACGAGCAGATTTGTGCGTCTTCCTACACTTAACAAAATTTCTTGACCTGTTTGCTCACCCACAGCGTGGTCTATGTGGCACTAAGTATGGTATAAACGAGGGAAGTAACTAAACCAAGAGTGCCTTTAAATATGCACCATACTTCTTCAATTGATGAGCTAGTATTTACTGACCAGTCAGTTGTTGCAGCACACTCCTGAATGGACATTATTTTTTCTCTTCATACCTTTAAGCGAGGTTTAACATAATTGCATATTATGTCACAAGCTCTGAACATGAATGACAAAACAGCAAGATGGATATTTGCTAACGGTAGAAGAATATTTAAACAAGTGATATCCTTGGTCGCGTGAGTGATTACTAAGTCTAATAGCGGAGATTTTTGGTTCCATCCAAGACGTATGGGTACGGATACGTGCTGTACGAAAAAAAGCTCTATTCCGTCATCAAGAGCCTACTATCGAAAGTCTTCAGATCCTGAGGTGGTCATCTATGTCTAACTAATATCATGTGCAATAAAGTTTCTTGATATCAGGCATTTCTTATTTTTACTCTATAGCTAAGCTGATCGAGCAACGACAGATAGGACCGAGTCTCAATGTACAGCCTTCAAAAGTGAGTTCACAACTAGCGACTTTGAAAACCCTCTTTATGTATTCAAAAGCAGTTTGTTTTTACCTCATACCTACGCTGCTAATATTAGCTTTTTATCCAGTGATGGTTTTTCACATTGTCTCTTCGCAGCATTTTCTTTATTATTACTTTTTCTCTCACCCTCCATTTCTAATCTAGTTGGCTCTTTGTTTTTCCTTAAACAAGTGTATGTGTGACTAGGTTTATTGAGGCAAAGTGTTATACAGTGCTGATAATCTACGTCCTCTTATTACACTACCCAAATTTACCAAAGGGTCTAATTGTTTTGAAGACTTTTCGCCATTTATGCAGTTATAAACTTATGACATTTCACCTGTTAACTACACTAGTCTGAACAAATAGAACGTACTAAGATAGCAAAAGTCGGACGTTCAAATATTATTTTCCTGTCGTTAAGAAGAACACGTTTTGACTTGGACCTTAAGGAGGGGTCGAGAGCTTGTTGAGTTTGCACCCTATAACACTCGACCACGTATTGTATTAGATGGAGACTATGTATTATCTAGAATCTGATCAGAAGTATTAGAATTATTTACTAGAGTTGGAACAGACCCACCTGGTTCCTAGAATTTTATTTGGTCCACATGTCGGTTGTGTATATTCAAGTCATTGATATCTAGAATTCGCAGCATGAATTCCCCGACATTCTTCACCACAATATTCATGGCCAGTCAAAGATCATTCTCACGATAATATGTAACTTCTGCAGACTCCAAACACCCCATATTCGGACGGAGGATTCTTCCTTTTAATAGCTTTGGTGGAGTCAGTTTCGATAAAGATTTTCTAGCGTTTCCATGTTTCCATATCTACTCTTCTATTCAGCTTATCACGTGTTGAAGCAGCAATGTAGTTAGTGGCAGTTTTCAATGTCCTGGTGAACATTCCAGCCTGAACATTGGAACAAGGATGCTTGGTAGCAGTGAACAGATGTTTGTACCCTATTCCACTTAACCAGGTAGTGGCCGCGTCTGCAGCAAAATCAGAGCCATTATCAGTTGCTAATGCCTCGGGAACTCCTTCTCGACTAAACTCCTTTCTTAATGTTCGGATTGTGAAACCAGAATTTGGTGAAGCTGTGAAAAACATCCAGACCATTTCGAAAAGGAATCAATGACTAAAAGTGCATAGTATTTGCTGAGAAGTAGACTACAAAAATCTGCATGAATTCTCTGCCAGGCTTCAAATGATACTGGCTATGGAGTCCACTTCGAAGGCTGATTTTACAACTTGTGTTATCCTTCACAATTGTTTGTTGTACGACACATGTCTGCATTTATTTCAATCCACCAACATGTGTGCTTTGCTAAGGATTTCATTTTCTCATCATCCAAACGTTCACTATGAAGATGTTGGAAGTAAGATTTACGCAATGAAGGAGAAACAACAACACTATTATTTAAACAGGAAATACCATCAGGAGTAGTGGATAACACATATCACTCTGAAGAATAGACAGAAAATCTACGTTTCAGATTAGCATTCGTACACCACTGAATACACGTTCAAAGTATTGGCGAGTTTTTCAAAAAGATATGGAAGACTCGCTGGTAAATGCTGCTTTAACAAATAGTATGCAATACTACTAGATTTATGTTGTAATGATCATCGAGATATGTGATCAATATGTTTAATTCATTTGGAACTTCGTTACTGGATTGTACAGTTGTAGGCATTCACAGTAATACTCTATCGTTGAACCATAGAAGCTGAGGAACGTGCTAAGGATTGTTCAGGATGATAAGTGGGCTTTAAAGCCCCATGATCAGTAACAATAGTGAATTTCTTTCTAAATAAATATTTGCGAAGTCTTTTAGCAGCCCGAAACTCAGCTAATGCTTCTCGCGGAGTTTGTGAATAACCACGTTTAGCGACAGTAAGTTGGCGTGAAACACAGATAACTTGTCTACCTTCCTGCTCCAAAACTGCACCAATACCCATAGGTGATGCATCAGTGCAGAATGTACATTGGGGAGCGAATTCGAAGAACGGCATCACTTTTAATAAACTCTAGCAAACTTCGCAAGCATGACTCTTGTTTCTCACTCCATTTTAGTGAATTGGATATCAAAATATCAAGTAAACAATTGGCATGACAAGGAAAATTAAGAATAAGCCGGGAATATTATTGAATGGCACCCACTAAAGAACGTAGTTTTGTAAGAGTTTTTGGAGATGGCGCATTCGTCATTAAAGCTAGTCTTTTTATCTGGTTCAAAACCGTTACCATCAACTAGGTATCCAAGACATACAAAATTAGATACACAAAATGAACACTTATTTGGATCCACCGTAATATTCTTCTTGATTAAACGACGCAGTAAAGCAATAAGTCTCTGATCATGGACTACCTTATCAGAACGATGAACCATGAGACCATCTTGATAAACTTTAACACCCTCAAGATCACTGACCATATTGGTCATCACTTCCTGAAATATGGCTAGAGAACAACTTGAACCAAATGGGCGGAAGTTGTTTTTGAACAGGCTAAAAGGAGTGTTAATTATTGTCAACGTAGATGAAGATTGATCTAAGGGTATTTTAGGATAAGCATCTTTTAGTTCAACTTTCGAGATCACTTTAGAACCATGAAGTTGATTAAGAGTATCGTCATCCTTTACCGTGGTACACGTTTGCTTCAACAAATGGGGGTTCAGTGTTAATCAACAGTCACCACATACTCCAGAGGTCTTGCCATCCAACTTCAATGGTGTAACAATAGGAGTACCCCATGCTGAAGACTGAATCAATTCAATCATACCTTTCGCGCAAAAATCGTTCAGTTTCTTATTTACTGCTTCTCGATGACCATAAGAAATTATTCGTCTTTTAAGAGAGACTGGATCACACTGTACTTAAAGTTTTATAGGCTGAATTTTCATACCTCCACTGCACTTAGACCACGCAGCTATCAAGTCTTTTACCGAATCCAAAAGACTAATAACCCTCTTACTATACTCTTAAGAGCTTCAAATTTTCCTTGGACTCCCTCCCACAAATGAGGCACTTTATTATGGACCGCCTAATATCTAGACGGAACAAAAATATGACGATCTCCATTGTTATAATTATGAATATAACCAAATTACAGCACATATGATTTATCCTCTCCTATTATTCATTGACTGTTAATCATGGTCTTATGCTCTTGACCCTCATGTTCAGTTTCCGAATCCCTTTAATGGTTAAAGATACATTATTCTTTCTAAGTGTCATGCCTTTTTCTTTCTATTGCAAGTAGACAGAAAACTC